AAGATATAGAAACTTATATTAAAGAAAATGTTAAGAGTAAAATATCAGAGAATGACAAAAAAGACTTAGATAAAGAGATAAAAGAGGAAGAGATTATAGAGATTATTAATAAACTAAAATATGGTAAAACTCCAGGTTTTGATGGATTAGGTTCGGAATACTATAAAACTTTTAAATCAATATTGATCCCTAAACTAAAAGTGCTCTATAATGAAATACTGGAAGGAGAGAGAATACCAGATTCATGGAAACATTCATTGATAACTCTTATCCCAAAACCTAATAAAGATCTAACAGACCCAAGTTCATATAGACCTATTTCTTTACTAAATCAAGACGTAAATATACTGTATTTACAGCAATGCGATGTTTTGCCACTTAAAACATTGCAATGCGATCTCATTGGCGATCCCAAAAAACTGATCGCTATGCAGATTTGTCGTTAAACAGTCCGCTCGTTATGCAAGGCACCACTGTACATGACATACTACACCATGTCATGGTTTATTTTACAAAACTAAGGCCAAAATGGAGATACCATGTGTGAAAAACTAACTCCCTTACTGCTTCCATAGGAATTAAGAAGCTAAGCATCAGCCAGGTGCTGTGTTCCTGCACTGAGCAGGGGGTTGGACTTGATGGTCTTGTAGGCCCCTTCCAACTTCACTTTTCTATGATTCTATGATTCTAACCAAATGCCCTACAGCAGTGGTTCCTAACCTTTTCCCAACCGTGGACCAGTTGAGGGGGCAGGGTCTGTGAGCAGGGATGCTGGGCAACCCTGCATTCACAGGTGGGTGTGGCATGCTCAAAGGTGGGCAGAGTGTGCTTGTGTGCATTTGTGGATGAGTGGGGTGTGCTCGCACTTCTGCAGATAGGCAGGGTGTGCTTTGCTAGGAGTCTCTCAAAGAGCCTGCAAGTTGTACTCACTAGGACAGGCTTTGTATGTGGCTAGAGCTGTCCGCTTATCCTTGATGGCTGGCATCAACTCCTCCGAACGGGCTTCGAACCAGTCCGCCGTCTTTTTGCTCTTCTTCCCAAATGTGGACAAGGCAATGTTATAAACAGCGTTCTTGAAATGTTCCCATCATTTAGGTGCATTTGCATCGGCCGGGCCTGCAAGGGTTTCCTCAGGCGCTTGGGCAAATTCCTCCACTTTTCTTTGATCATGAATCTTGCTGATGTCAATATGTGGTCTTCCTTTCTTTTTCATGTGATACAATCTCTTTGTTCACAATTTTAGTCTACTACACACCACAGAGTGATCAGTACCGCAGTCAGCACTGGTAACTACGTGTGATCTTAATACAGTGGTGCCTCACTTAACGGGTGCTCCGTTTAGCGACGAAACCGCATAGCGATTAACTTTTTGCGATTGCAAAATCGATCACATTGCAATGTTTCCTATGCGATTTTATCGCTTTGCGATGATTGGTTCGCTGTTTCACTTACTGATCATCGCAAAGCGATGATTTTTTAACAGCTGATCGGCGGTTCCAAAATGGCCGGCGGGTAACAAAATGGCCGCCTGCAGTGTTTTCGCTCTGATTCCTTGCTTAAGAGGCATCGAAAATGGCCGCGCTATGGAGGATCTTCGCTTAAAGGTCAGTTTTTCGCCCATAGGAACGCATTAAACAGGTTTTAATGCATTTCTATAGGCGTTTTAAAATAACATAGTGACGAAACCGCTTTGTAGCGATTTTTGCTGCACGGATTAACGTCGCTATGCGAGGCACCACTGTACTAGGAGGACTGGAGCATCTATTGAGGATAAGTGAAAGGTAGGGTGTTTATAAATAGTGGTTAGCATTAGTTTTATCACAGTTGAAATTTATTTGCTTTAAAGCAAATCCCTGACTACAATAGTTTTAAAAAAGAGTAACTTTTCTAAGCTCTGCAAACTACAGGGAAGCTTGCACATCAACATTATCTGAGAACTCTATTTACAATAACGGTTGATTTGAGGTGGTTGCTATTGTTTAAAAAACATTTCCTTCTTTTAGGTTGTAGAAGACAAGATTATCTTGACTTTTGGAGAAAAAGAAATAATCCATTAACACAGTTAAAAGGCCCTGAAAAAACAACCAGAAAGGATGATGAAGATTACCTATGACAACTATCCTGTAGAGACACCAGAGAATGCTGTAGAAAATCAAAATGTCATCAGTGGGAACAGATCAAGAAAGAACCCCCAAGAGATCTCAGAAGTGGCATTATTGCCGATGCCGAATAAGGGCAAAGCAGAAGAAGAAACCCGCAATGATCCAAGAGCAAACGCTCCATCTGATTCAGAAGAGTCCACTTACTATTCAGGTCCCGAGTCACCAGGGGAAGATGATGCCATTGGTGAAAATAGATCAAGAAAGAACCCCCAAGAGATCTCAAAAGTGGAATTATTGCCGATGCCGAATAAGGGCAAAGCAGAAGAAGAAACCCGCAATGATCCAAGAGCAAACACTCCATCTGATTCAGAAGAGTCCACTTACTATTCAGGTCCCGAGTCACCAGGGGAAGATGATGCCATTGGTGAAAATAGATCAAGAAAGAACCCCCAAGAGATCTCAGAAGTGGCATTATTGCCGATGCCGAATAAGGGCAAAGCAGAAGAAGAAACCCGCAATGATCCAAGAGCAAACATTCCATCTGATTCAGAAGAGTCCACTTACTATTCAGGTCCCGAGTCACCAGGGGAAGATGATGCCATTGGTGAAAATAGATCAAGAAAGAACCCCCAAGAGATCTCAAAAGTGGAATTATTGCCGATGACAAATAAGGGCAAAGCAGAAGAAGAAACCCGCAATGATCCAAGAGCAAACGTTCCATCTGATTCAGAAGAGTCCACTTACTATTCATGTCCCGAGTCACCAGGGGAAGATGATACCATTGGTGAAAATAGATCTGGAGAGATTCCAGAAGTGGAATTCTCGCCGATATTGCATGAGGGCAAAGAAGAAAAGAAAAGTGGTGATGATTTAAGATCAGATGCCCCACCCACTTTAGACGAGACTCTTTATCTTTTGCACCCTGACAAAAGTGTTTCAAGAGCAGCGTCACCATCAGCATCTCACCAGTCCCATTATGATCTTCCAACCAACCAGCAAAACCAGATTTTTTTTCAAATCCTGAAGGATTTACTTAAAAACTCATTAGGGCAGTGGTCTGCGGTTGGGAAAAGGTTGTGGACCCCTGCATTAGTGTATGGCAACACAGGTGTACGTCACAGTGGTGAACATATCCTGGAGCTCATATACATGAACAAGAAGTGTGAATTAAGGATCCTGAATTCTGATAGAATTTGCCAATGGAAGCAAACATTGAAGACAGGTGATATTTACCTTAAATTGCGTGGCAATCATGTGGAACATCTCAACCTAGAGACTATCCAGAATGTTCAGAATGAGCTGGAATCCCTGGGCATTCAGGATAATAGAATACAGAGTTGCTTCTCCCTGGCTAAAACTAAGTTCATGGAAGAGCTCTCATATGTTCAGAGTAACATGAAACTGGACATAATTTGTGACATGGTTATAATAGCTTTTAGTGAAGGTGAAGGTGAGAATGCGGCCAAAGTTTTGTATGATGATGTCCTAAGTAGCCCCAAGTACTTCATGAAAGTGAAGGATGTGTGGGTAATGATTTTGAGATACTTATTTTTTCATCTTTCAGAGATTGAGCATTTCCTAACTCCGCATGTTAAAACGCTGTTTGAGAAGTTATTTGACAAATTAATGAGGGTTGTGGGCTTATCAGTCTCTTTGGCCTGAAATATTTAACTATAAATACTCAACTCTCCAAACAAACTACACAGAGTTCTGACTCCAGTCCTCTGAAGATGCCCATGGCCACAGAGACTGGCAAAACGTTTGTAAGAACAGCCTTCAGAAAACAGCCAAAGACCCTGAAAAACCCACAACAACCATCAGATCCCGACCGTGAAAGCCTTCGCGAATAGATTAATATTCTTTAGCCAGTTTTATTCCCAGGTTTCATAGGTAGAAGGCCCCAGCTTTTTAGAAATTCTGGAGTCTCCTTACTATTAGTGTACCAAGCGAGAACATTGCTTTTGCATTTTTCCAGTATATATTAAAATCAGATTTGCTTCTGTCAATAAGCTGGAGAGTATGATGTATTTTTGATAGAGAGGAATCAAAAGGATTCTTAAAATTGACTCTTAGATTAAATCACATCCAGTTAATTTTTACTAAATCAGGTAGTCCATGAACTCTATAAATAAATAAATAAATAAATAA